GGGACTATTGTAAATGGTATTGATTTGGTGATTTCCTCTTCGAAGTTCTCTTTGTTGGTGTAGAGGAATCCAACAATTTTTGTATGTTTGTCCTGTATCCTGATACTTTGCTGAAATCTTCTATTAGTTCCAGTAGTTTTCTTGTGGATTTTTTGGGGTTTTCTGTATATAAGATCATATCATCTGCAAACAGAGATACTTTTACTTCTTCCTTACCAATTTGTATGCCCTTTATTTCTTTGTCTAGCCTAATTGCTCTGGCTAGGACCTCCAGCACAATGTTGAATAAAAGTGGTGATAAAGGGCATTGTTGTCTGTTTCCCGTTCTCAAGGTGAATGCTTTCAGACTCTCTTCATTTAGGATGATGTTGGCTGTTCGCTTTGTATAAATGCGTTTAATTATGTTGAGAAATTTCCCTTCTATTCCTATTTTGCTGAGAGATTTTATCATGAATGGGTGTTGGACTTTATCAGATGCCTTTTGTGCAACAATTGATAAGATCATGTGCTTCTTGTCTTTTGTTTTATTTATGTGATGGATTACATTGATTGTTTTTCTAATGTTTTCTAATTCCTGCATAGCTGGTATAAATCCCACTTGATCATGATGAATTAATTATTTTTTTGGTATGTTGCTGAATTCTATTGGCTAGAATTTTTTTGAGGATTTTTGCGCCTCTGTTTATGACAGATATTGGTCTGTAATTTTCTTTTTTTGTGGTGTTGTTACCTGGTTCTGGTATCAGGGTTATCCTGGCTTCGTAGAATGAGTTTGGGAGTATTCCATCCTTTTCTGTGCTCTGAAATACCTTTAGTAGTAGTGGTGTTAACTCTCCTCCGAAAGTTAGGTAGAATTCTCTAGTGAAGCCGTCAGGGCCAGGGCTTTTTGTTGTTTTTGTTGGGAGTTTTTAAATTACTGTTTCAATCTCTTCTTTTGTTATGGGTTTATTGAGTTGTTCTACCTCTGTTTGTGTTTGTTAGGTAGGTAGTGAGTTTCTAGAAATTTGTTCATTTCCCCTCGGTTTTCAAATTTGTTAGAGTACAATTTTTCATAGTATTCTGTTATGATTCATTTAATTTCAGTTGCATCTGTTGTGATACCACCCATCTCATTTCTCATTTGGGTTATTTGCTTCCTCTCCTATTTTTCTTTTGTCAGTTTGGCCAGTGGTTTGTCAATTTTGTTGATCTTTTTAAAGGACCAGCTTTTGGTCTTGTTAACTCTTTCAATTGTTTTTCTATTCTCTATTTCATTTAATTCAGTTCTAGAATTATTTTGTTTCTTCTGGTGCCCGAGGGCCTCTTTTGCTGCTCTCTTTCTACTTGTTCGAGTTGTAGGGTTAATATTTTTATTTTGGCCCTTTCTTCTTTTTGGATATGTTTATTTATTGCTATAAACTGACCTCTGAGCACGGCTTTTACTGTGTCCCAAAGATTCTGGTAGGATGTGTTTTCATTCTCATTTGATTCCGTGAATTTCTTTATTCCGTCCTTAATTTCTTCTATAACCCAGTAGTTTTTGAGTAAGGTGTTGTTCAGTTTCCATGTGTTTTTTTTTTTTTCTTGCTTTTTCTGTTATTGATTTCTACTTTTATGTTTTTAGGATCAGATAATATGCTTTGTAATATTTTGATGCTTTGGATTCTGTTAAAGCTTGCTTTATGGCCTAATATGTGGTCTATTCTAGAGAATGTTCCATGTGCATTGGAAAAGAAAGTATACTTGAGTGCTGTTGGGTGGAGTGTTCAGTATATGTCTATGAGATCAAGTTGGTTGATTGTGGCATTTAGATCTTCCGTGTCTTCATCGAGCTTCTTTCTGTGTTACACCAGAAGTGGAGTGTTGAAGTCTCCTACTATTATTGTAGAGCTCTCTATCTCTCTTTTTGATGCTGTTAGAGTTTGTTGTATGTATTTTGGAGCCCTGTCGTTGGGTGCATAAATATTTATTATGGTTATGTCCTCCTGGTGTATTGACCCTTTAATCATTATATCGTATCCTTCCTTTTGTGATGGATTTTATTTAAAGTCTGTTTTGTCAGAGATTAATATTGACACTTCTGCTCTTTTTTGAGTGTTGTTGGCTTAATATATTTTTTTCCATCCCTGAGTTTTAGTTTGTTTGTATCTTTAAGTCTAAGGTATGTCTCTGGTAGGCAGCATATGGACAGTGTTTTTTTATCCATTATGTTACTGTCTATTTATTTGTGCATTTAGTCCATTTACATTCAGCATAATTATTGATAGGTATGAGTTTAGTGCTGTCATTTTGATGTCTTTTTTTGTGTGTTGTTGACAGTTTCTTTGTTCCACTTTTTTTGTTCTGTGCTGAGTCGTTTTTCTTTATGTATTTTCTTGTCATCTTTTTCATTGTTGATTTTGTATTTGCTGAGTCTTTATGTTTTTCTTGTTTTGTATTTTGATGAGTAGGATTGTTAGTTTCCTCTGTGGTTACCTTGATATTTACCCCTATTTTTCTAAGTTTCTTTATATTGCCTTAACTTCCTCTCCATATGAAAGATCTATGACTACATTTTTTAGTCCCTCTTTTTTGTTTTAATGTTGTCATCTTTTACATATTGACATCTTTGTGTCTCTATTTTCAGCATTTTAGCTTTGATTTATTTTTGTGACTTTCCTATCTGGGTTGATATCTGGTTACTCTCTCCTGTGTTCTAGCCTTGGGTTGTTATCTGATGTTATTGACTTTCTAATCGGAGGACTCTCTTTAGTATTTATTGTAATTTTCATTTGGTAGTTGCAAATTCCCTAAACTTCTGTTTATCTGGAATGGCCTAATGTCACCATCATATTTGAAAGACAGTTTTGCTGGATATATAATTCTTGGCTGGCAATTTTTTTCCTTCAAGGCTTTATATATGTTATCCCATTGCCTTCTTGCCTGCGTGGTTTCTGTTGAGTAGTCTGAGTTTAGTCTAATTGACTGTCCTTTGTAGGTGACTTTTCATTTATCCCAGCTGCTCTTAAAATTCTCTCTTCATCTTTGGTTTTGATAAGTTTGATTATAATATGTCTTGGTGACTTTCTTTTGAGATCTACCTTATGTGGGGTTCAATGGGCGTCTCAGATAGGTATCTTCTCATCTTTCACGATATCAGGGAAGTTTTCTGCCAATAAGTCTTGAACAATTCTCTCTGTATTTTCTGTTATCCCCCCTGTTCTCGTACTCCAATCACTTGTAGGTTATTCCTCTTGATAGAGTCCCACATAATTCTTAGGGTTTCTTCAGTTTTTAAAATTCTTTTGTCTGATTTTTCCTCAAATACGTTGGTGTCAAGTGCTTTATCTTTGATCTAATTCTGACCTCCATTGCCTTAACTCTGCTTCTCTGACTTTCCAGTGAGTTGTCTAATTCTGAAATTTTATTGTTAATCTTCTGGATTTCTGATTGCTGTCTCTCTATGGATTCTTGCAGCCTTTTAAATCTGTCATTATGCTCTTCTTTAATCTTCTTAAGTTCCTCTATTGCTTTGTCTGTGTGTTCCTTGGATTGTTCTGCATTTTGAATGATCTCCTTCCTCATCTCTTGAAGAGTTCTGTATATTAATCTTCTGTAGGCTACCTCTGGTAATTCCAAGAAATTCTCTTCCTCCAGAAAATTTCTTGATTCTTTGTTTTGGGAGCTTGCTGAAGCCATCATGGTCTGCGTCTTTATGTGATTTGATATTGACTGTTGTCTCTGAGCCATCAATAAGTTATTATATTTATTTATTTAGTTTGCTTACTGTGTCCTAGCTTCTTGTTTTATTTTGATATGCCCAAATAGGCTGCTCATGTGAGCTAGTTTTATTTTTGGTGCCTTTGAAGCTCTAATGTCCTGTCACCACGTGTTCTGATCTGTTACTAGGTATGTGTGCCCAGGAGTCTGTTTACTTTTCTTGTATGGATTCAGCTCAGGTGTCCAGGTAGTTGGTCACCAAGTGTGTGGTGCAGGCTCTCACCTACAGTCCTAGACAGGCAGAGGTGATTGAAGTAGGCACAGGTATCTGGCTGCAGTAGGGGGTCATGTGCTGAGCAAGGCAGGGGGTTGATGACTGCCCCTGAGAGCCTGGGAGGAAAGCATTTCCCTGTTCCATAGAGCATGTAAGTGGGTGGGTTTTGCAGCTGGACTATGAGCACCTTATGCTGTTGGCTGTAAGGACTAGGAGGCACCACTTATTCTTGGACCCCTGTCGCGGGTGGCTAGGTGGAGTGGGTGGAGCCACCAGTCATCAGGCCTCTGATTTGGGTAGGTGAGGACCCTGCTTAATGGGCAGAGCAGTGTCAAATGTCATGAACCTACCACTTCACCATATAGCTGATACAGTTGACGTTAGGCTTCAGGTATATACCCTGTTGTACTGTGGTAATGAGAGCTTATGCTGTTGAAATGGGCCTACACTGGTCTATGCAGAGGTGAAAGGCATTCAAAGTCCATGGACCCATTATGCCTGTGCCTAAGCAAAGGAGCTGTGCCTACCCCGAGTTCCTGGTTTAGGGGAGCCAGCAGATTATTTTTCCTGTTTGTTAATTTGTTCCCTCTCCAAGGCTGGGAGAATGGCTCAGGGTGCATGATGGGTCCTACTTCTGGCCCAGGGGACTCAGCAATCGCTGAAGTTGGCCCAGGACCTGGTGCAGAGTTGGGAGGGGGCAGGTAAATGGGAGAGAGGTTTTTCCCAAAGGAGGTTTTTTTTGATCCGCACCATAGGTCAGATGCATGTATCTTTTGCTGATTCAGCGCCGCTTTTCGCTGGTTCTGGAGGCGTGAGTAGACTCTCCGCTGCTCAGTCTCTCCGGATGTGGAAAATGCCTCCCAAGCACCATTGCTTGCCTTATTGCCCACGCCAGCCTATCTGTCCTGAAGGGCTGCTTCTGAAATGTCTCTCCCTCCCCCTACCATTCAGTCCTATTCCTAAACTTTGCCTTTGATGTTCAGGGTTCCTAGATTGTCATATATAATTGATTCACTTGTTTTTTCAGGTCTTTGTTGTAAGAGGGACTGCAGGAAGCATCTGACTACTCCGCCATCTTGGTCCTGCCTCTCTCCTCCATAGGGTTTTCAGTGGCTGATTTTTCAGAAGTAGATTGCCTGGCATTTTGTGCTGAGGTAGCTCTGGTAGAGTTGAACCTCCAACCTTCCAGTTAGCACCCAGGTGGGTTAACCATTTGCACCAAGTAGCTCACATGATGGAATGATTATTTTGTGCCCAATTAGTTTGCAAAATCCTTTAGCACATTATCTCATTTAGTCTTCATCACAATCCTGTGAAAGGTGCACTATTTTTTCACTTGCAAATGGAAAAATAGAGGTTTAGCAATTCCCCAAGGCTGCAGAGTGGTTATTCAAACCCAGGTCTGACAAGACCATGTGTTTTCACACCTATGCATTTCTGCCTCACTGTACCTGAGAGCTACGTAAGATCCAGGAAAACAAAATTAGAGCACTTAACTTAAAGTTGAATACAGGTAGTTTTTGATTACAAAGGCAGTGAAGATATTTGGATTCTATTTTGACAAATCTCACATTCTTCTGACAGTAAAATCAAAGTAAGAAACTTGTTATCACAGCAACGCAATATGAAACTACAAAGAAAATACAACTATGCGTATTTAGATTAGTTGGATTTAGAGTACTTGGTTGTAAGAGGAAGTATTCAAATTGGGCACATGCTTCTCCAGCATATCCAGGAACTCTGTCCAACCAGAGCTTAGAAGCATGAAGGTACCCTTGCTGTGATGATACTCAAGAGGATTCTCATATGCCACTTCATTTTCTTTCTTTTTCTCATTCTTCTTATCTCTAGGAAATGTTCTGTGAAGGCCGACTTTGCAAACAGACATTCCAGAGAGCCTGATTGGTACCCAACAACAGAGTCCACTTGTGTCTACAGCTTACTGCTGAATAATTTTCCAGAATGAACAGATGTTAATCTATCCTGCCTTGGTGATGGGACCTTGTGGTCTAGGAGATTTCACATAATCTATACCAGAAGCCATTCGGAGTGCAGGGAAATGGCTCAACTTCAATAAAACCGTCCAAATGATTCTGACTCTATTCTTTCTAAATTTAGTGTAGTGCATTATTTCAAGAAATACAAGAAAGACTTGTAGGTGCACCAGGGCCATGCCAATGAATGGTATGTAATTCATGCCTTCAAGGTCCAGTGAGTAAGATGCACCAAACAATTGGAATTGTGGTGAAAAGTACTGGCAGCTATGAAGGCCCACAGGAGGGGCAAACTTGACTTTTGGGGGTGGGTGAGTGGTGGCATTTATGGCATCCAGGGTAGTGGAGGTGACCTTTGATCCAAGATCTGAAGCATAGAGAGGAGTTAACCAAGTGCAGGAACAACTGAGAAGCCTTCTGGGAGAAGGCCTAGGGGTAAGTTGGAGGGATATGTGTTTGAAGAACTGAAAAGATCACTTTAGCTGGAGCATAAGGGGGTGGGAAGTGGGGAGAGATGATAGAAGAGACTGGAGTGATAGGCAGGGGCCCTGTCATGAAGGACCTGGAATGCCAGGTTAAAGAGTTAAAATTTTGTCCCAAAAGTAATAGGAAGATGGTGGTGGGTATTACACAGGGGATCTGCATGATCAGATTTGCTCACAGAAAGGAACTCTGACTGCAGAGGGAAGAAACTGCTGTAGGCAGGGGATGCCATTTGCGAGGCGGTTTAGAAAGCCCTGGTGGAAATCTAAGTGTGAGATTTTGTTGGTCAGGAGCACCTGGAGCCTGGATCTCAAATAAGGGGAAAAGACTTCTGTGGTTGCAGGGGTTGGATAGAAATGGCAAATTATTGAGGAAGCTGACTCCATAGTCCAAGATGATGGGTGAGCTGTAGGGATGATGGAAGGGAGAGAAGTTGAGGAAGATGCCCTGTTTCTGGTTTTGCCAGCTGTAGGGAGGATGAAGCTCATCAGTGATAAAAGTAAACTGAGAGGAGGAGGGAAGAAGGGTTGAGGCTTTATATTTTGAGGTAGCCGTGAGTCCCTGGGTGGTGCAAACAGTTAACACACTCGGATGCTAACCAAAAGGTTGGAGATTCCAGTCTACCCAGAGGTGCCTTGGAAGAGAGTCTGGTAGTTTGCTTCCAAAAAGTCAGCCATTGAAAATCGTCACAGTTCTACTCTGACACACATGGGGTTACCATGAGTTGGAGTCAACTCAGTGACAAATGGTTTTGGTGCCCACCCAGAGCAGGGCTGTTCAGGAAACAGTTGGATAGAGGGGTCTGGAGACATGCAGAAGCTGTCAGGCACATAAGATGTTGAGGCTATGCACATGAATGAGATGATCTAGAATATTGTGTCTAAGGTAAAAGGAGGTACAAAACCTACAAAGAAAGGGTAACCAGAGGGTTGGAGAAACAAGGGTAGCACTAGGGGAACCAAGAGGAGAAAATGTTAGAACAAGGGAGTGTTCAACACTTGTTGAGACGCTGGAACTCAAATTAAGGCAAGGCTGAAGGACTTTGCCACTATGGTGAGTGTAGTTTCAGTAGCACACCTGGTGCTGGAGTTGGCACATGGAGGGTTATGAAGTGAATTAGGTGAGGACCACCACCTGTCTGTCAGTTTGTCCTACTGTGATGGCTTCAGTGTTACTGTGATGCTGGAAGCTATGTCACCAGTATTTCAGATACCACTGGGGTTACCAATGGTAGACAGGTTTCAGCAGAGCTTCCAGATTAAGACAGACTAGTAAGAAGGACCCGGTTATCTACTTCTGAAAAAGATTAGCCAATGAAAATCTTATGGATCACAATGACACTTTATCAGGAAGGACCAATCCCTGGAGAAGGCTATCATGCTTGGTAAAGAAGAAGGTCAGCAAAAAAAGAGGAAGCCCCTCAAACAGATGGACTGACACAATGGCTGCAATAATGGGCTCAAACATACCTACTATTTTGAGGATGGCTTAGGACTTGGCAACGTTTTGTTCTGTTGTACACGGGACTGCTATGAGTCAGGCTGCCATGGGGCCCTGGTGGCACAGTATTTAAGTGTTTGACTGCTAACCAAAAGGTTGGCAGTTTGAATCCATCAGCCACTCCTTGGAAACCCTGTGGGGCAGTTCTACTCTGTCCTATTGGGTCACTGTGAGTCGGAATCAACTTGACAGAGGTTTTTTTTTAACTATGAGTAGGAGCTGACTCCACAGCACCTAACAGCAACAGATGTGATGAGGTGCAGACAATCAGCGGAAGAAACAGGGTAGTAGTTTCAGCAAGTCAGCAAGACTATGGTCAATTTGATGGACCACAGAGTCTATACTGGATAAGAAAGTTCAGAAAGGTGTGTTAATTTATTGAGTACTTACTATGGGCTAGGTGCTAAGCTGAGCTTTAGGGATACTAGAACAGCAAAGGAAAGGTTCATGCCTTTAAGGAACTTACAGTTTTGTAATGATGACAGAATCAAACAGGAAATTAAAGCCTTTGTATCAGATGTAAGTCTTGGTTCAAGTAACAGAAATCAACTTGTTGGTTTGACCTTAGACGCTATGACATTAGAGCCAGGAAAAGTTGGAACATGGTTGTAGCCCCAATTGGCTACTGTGGATCCACCCAACAGAATATGCAATATTTTCAGGATAGAATCACACAGCAAATGATTAGTTGAGGTTGCAGACCTCCAACAGATTTGAGAATTATGTAATACATAATCAGGTAGTCCCTGACTTAGGATGTATTTGAGTTACAACAAACCGCACTGACCATTCTTTTTTTTTTTTTTTGACATCTTATCATTAGTAATATGTACTACATACAGTGTTGCAGTGTGTAATTTGCTGAGGTTATCCTCAGATGTAATGTTTCCAACCCCCAAAGACAAATAAAGATTGGCTTTATAAAGATACTGATAACAAAAGGCAATAATAATGAAAACTAAAAAAAAAAAAAAAAAAGAGGTATTCAGCTTACAGCAGAAATGACTTGCAACCGAGTAGTTGTAACAGAACCCTGTCGTAAGTTGGGGACTACCTGTATGTAACAGTTCCCTGGGTGGTGCAAACAGTTAAGTACTCGACTACTGCCTTAGTCTTGGTTCTCTAGAGAAGCAAAAACCAGTAACACATATAAATATATATATGTAAAGAGAGAGATTTATATCAAGGAAATGGCTCACGTGGTTGTAGAGGCTGGAATGTCCCAAGGCCGAGAATCAGGATAGAGGCTTCTCCTGATTCAATAAGCGGCAGGGGCTGGCAAACCCTAGCTCGGCAGGTCAGAGAGCAGGCTGTTCCTCACAGGCTGCAAAGATCGATGAATCCCAAGATTGGCAGGCAAGACTGTAAGTAAGCTGCTAGCTCAAGTCTCAGGAACCGGAGGTCAGACTAACAAGAGCCAGCTGCTGGATCCTGGATAGGCAAAAAGCCTCCAAGCCTTGCCAGACTATCCACTTATATTCAATGCAGGCCACACGCCCAAGGAAACTCCCTTTCAACTGATTGGCTACTCACAGCAGATCATGGAGGTGATCACATAACATCAAATCTCATCATGGAAGTTACCACATCATACGACTGCCAACCACTGAGAAACACGGCCCAATCAAGTTGACACACAACCTTAACCATCACAACTACTAAAAAAATTTTGGTGATTTGAACATATCCAGAGGTGCCTCAGAAGAACGGTCCAGTGGGGTCTCCATGAGTTGGAATTGACTCAATGGCAACTAGTTGACTGGTTGAACTGGAAACAAGGGTTGTGGCCTGTGAGACCACCACTTTTTGGAAGTCTCCTTTTCCCTAACATAACAGTCATTGCTTTGAGGCAATTGGAAATGATAGACTTTAATAGACTCTGGTGGGAAGGCAAAATTTTATCAGTATTTATTAATTACCCACATATGAAGGACACCCCCCTCCCATCGCAAGAACTGTGCTAATCCCTGGAATTTAGCAATGAACAAAACTAAAAATCTCTCCCCTCATGGACCTTGCATTTCAATGGAAGGTGATAGACAACAAACCTCAGTAAAAGATACAGCATTATCAGATAGTGGTCAGAGCTAAGAAGAAAAACCAGGGAAGAGGGTAGAGAAGGCAGGATGTTGGTGGTGCCTTTTAAGTAAGACAGTTAGGGAAGGCCTCAGAAAACGTGACATTTAGGCAGAGTCTTAAGGCGAGGAACAAGCTTTGTGGATGGCTATGGGAAGAGGTCTGAGGGAAAGGAACAAGTGCAAAGGCCTTGAGGTGAGGGCAAGGGATGTGCTGGAACAGCAGTAGGGCAGCCAGTGAGCAAGGCAGAGAGGAAGAGGCAATGAAGCTTACCCTTTGTTTGGCAGCAGCAGGGAGTTTTGAGCAAGCCTGGGCAGCTATCCTATCTGCTAAGACTGCATGCAGCTTTGCAGCCCCTGGTAGTACCAACTTCACTTTAGGGTATAGAAGCAGTTGACGTTTTTTCAATCCTTAAAGGCTCCAAGTTACGGAAAAACTTAGATTGCAAGTCACAGGAATACAGTGTCTCTCTTGCACAGCTTTGTCCTCTGCAGGCTAACCAGCTGCAGCTAATGCTGCAGGCTCTGGTTTGTCTTGCTCTCCCAGGACTTGACTGAAAGCAGCAAGAAGCAACCAGCAACATTTATCTGCCTTTCTTGTGCAAAAGTTGTTAGCTGCTGCTAAGTCACCCTGGACTCATGGCTACCCCATGTCTGATCCCCATGATGGGTTGTGGATTAGACTGTTGTGATGCATAGGGTTTTCACTGACAAATTTTCAGACGTAGATCACCAGGTCTTTCTTCCTAGTCTGTCTTAGACTGGAAGCTCTGCTGAAACCTGCTCAACATTATAGTAACACACATGGATGGGTGGTTGCTGTGTATGAGGTGCATCGCAGGGAATCGAACACTGGTCTCCCACATGGAAGGCAAGAATCCTACCACTGAACCACCAAGCCCTCTGTGCAAACTATAGTTCAAAAAAGAAAACAACAACAACAAAAAAAAACCCAAACCCTTTGCTGTTGAGTGGATTCCGACTCACAGAGACCCTACAGGCCAGACTACTACGGCCCCATAGGGTT